TGGAAGGATCCAGGTCGGGGTGTGGGATATGACAATCTCAGTTTGGACTGTGTAAGTAATGTTAAAGTCACATATATTATAATTCTCCATCAGCAGAGGCAGACAGATATTTTCTCTACTACTCAATAGAATTTCCATTAGGATCGTTATATTTTCTCCCCCATTTTATAATTTAATTTTCTGCTTTCTTTTTTTTTTTTTTAAGATTTTGTTTTTCAGTAATCTTTACACCCAACATGGGGCTTGAACTCACCACCCCAAGATCAAGAGTCACATGCTCCACCAACTGAGACAGTGATGCACCCCCTAATTTTCCACTTTCTATTTAAAAATGGTAACTAGTTGCACCAAAGTTGATTTTTAGTGGCAAGATTTATTGACTAGGCTATTCAGTTGATATAAATAAGTATTTACTTAAATTAAATGGCATTGTAAACAACCTTAAATCTTCAAATAAAAGTATTTCTTTGAAACACAGAAATACTGGAAAATATCATTTAACATCCCACAAAAAATGCTGGTTTATTATTGTTAGGTCCGTAATCAAAGGAGCGAGACTGACACGAAGTGAAGGTCAAGCAAAGCTTTATTTCACACCAAGCATCGAGAATCAAACCGACCATTCTGGGCCACCCCTTATAGAAAGAGCGACCCCTCCCAGCCTTACAAACTAACTTTTAAATGGCAAAGGCCATGTGGTTGAGCCTGGCTACACACAGGTGGCCAATGAGATTGTAACACACAGAGAAAGCTGCATAGTCATGCTAGGTCACACAGGTGACCAATTGGATTACAATTCACCCCATAGTAGCTATTTGAACTAGCCTATCACCTTGGTCAGCATTGGCGCCCAAAAGGCAGGGCCCACACTCCTTGGTAGCTAGGGAGACAGTACGCTCGGTCCACTGATTGGATGTCTCCACCTGGCCTGACCCGCCCTTGTATTTGGGCTCTGTTGCCTGGGACTGGTCGACCATATTTTACTAGTTTCCCGGACTTGCTTTTAAGTAAGTCCCCTGTTGGGGGGGGCGGGGCGGGGTCAGTTTAAATTTTACTGTATAAACAACAAAATGGCTGTTCAACCAGAGATGGAGCCGCTCTGGCTAAATAGGGCCTTACATTATTAAATAACAACTGATGTAATGGATATAAAATATTAAACCAAATGAAGTTGGTTTGTATTGCAATGTAGGTAAAATAAGATCAAATGTACTCTGCTTTAGCCTTTCGAATGCCCACTAAAGTGATCCTTTCTCAGAAGTTTACTTGGTTACTAACTAAACCTTAGGTTTGTTCCAAGTTCCGATATCAACTATGAGATTTTGTCCAGAGGAACTACTTGGCTACCCTCTCTATTTTTATCTTTCTAGGCAACCTGTCTCCAAACGAGAAAACAAACACAAACTATTAAATTATTAAGTGTTTGGCAAAGTAATAATCACACTATGTGGAATATACAAAATGCCTGTTCTTGCTTTATAACCAGTTTCTGGAGATATGGGCAGTATGATGCTGCAGTTTATTTAAAACAATAAAACTATATATTCAGTCTGTGTAACTAATATATAGGGTTTTGTACAGGCTTGGTCCGTTTTCAGCATCTAATACATGTTGCCTTTTTAGGTAACACTGTGCCCTACGTCTGATCTGGATAGCAATTTAGGGGCCCGCCACAGTGATTCTTGATTGGGTCCGCAGAAAGCGCCCTGGATGGTTAAAACTGCACCAGGGGGCGGCTCATGCTTTTCTGAAGCCCAGGGCTTTGTGATGGGATAATCCTGCTCTTTGTCTTGCCTAGGGTTCTGGCCCCGCCCTCTTGGGGCAACCTGCTGAGCATCAGCGCCAGAGCTCCCTGAGCTCCAGCTTGTGCAGGAGGATGGAGCCTGTAGAGAGCTTGGTCCCCAGGGACCAAGGATGACGGCTGGCCTAGCCGTTACTGTCCACACATTCAGAGCATCCTTTGCATCTCACCATGGTTCTGAGGAAAAAACTGAGTTGCTTGTGGACTTTAGGTCTCTGTCTGGTAGCCAGTAAATCGTCTGCTAAAGTCCCTGCTATCACAGACCAGCGCTTCAAAGACGAGTGCGTGAAGTCTCATAATGAGCTGCGAGGCAAAGTATGGCCCCCCGCGGCTGACATGAAACACATGGTGAGAAAGAACGGGTCTGGGATGTTTTTTCTCTGGTTCATCCTAAGGTATCTCTGGGCGATAAATCTGATGGATTCATTTATATGAATTCAATCTGGGCTTTCACCAGGCAGTTAAGAATCACGTTTTAGCTGGGCTATCCTCCCGGGTAGTGATAGGAGTGGACGAAAAAGGAAAACCTGAAGCTGTATATTGCCAAAGCTTAGCCCCCTTTAGTGGGGGGGGGGGGGGGGGGGGGGGGGGGGGGGGGGGGGGGGGG